GTCCCTTGAAACATAAGCTGTGCAGATGTTTCTTCCCTGCAGCGACTGTGTCAAGCAGCAAGGGTGGACCGGCGTCCAGCATACTATGACAGATAGGACAGGCTGCTGCAAGTCTCCTGTATTTTTCATGTTTGCTTCAGCTTTCCTTCCTGTTGTCTCCTCTGCAGGCCCATAGTACTTACTGTTTAAATACTACTTCTCCCCACTCTCTCCCCAAAATATAGCGAGGGGTGTCAAGTTTAACTATGAGCCCCCAAAAAGCCAATATAACTCATGCCTGCGCATTATTTCATTTATTCATTCAATAATTATGTATTGAGCTCCCGCAGCGTGGTTGTTAAGGAGGCTATTGCAGTAATCCAAGTGAGAGATGATGGTATTTGGTGCAGTATGGTAGTAATGGGGATGATAAGTGATTGGATGCTGGATATATTTCGAAAGGTGGAACCAATAGGATTCCCTGATGGATTGGACATGAGATGTGAAGAAGAAGAGAAAGATGCTTCCAGGTTTTGGGCCTAAGCATCTAGAAGGGTGGTGTTGCTATTTTCTGAGATAGGAAAGACTACAAGACAAGCACGTTGAAAGAACTAAATCAAGAGCTTGATTTTTGGACATATTAAGTTTGAGGTGCTTATATAGCATTCCAGTGGCAATATTCAGTTAGCAGTCTGGATTCCTGGGCAAGGTCCAGTCTGGAGATAAAAATGTTCAAAACCTTAGCCTGCCTTTCTCAGCGCATAAGCAAAAAGAAACATTGGAATCAGAGGGAGCCTGCAGAATTTCAACCAACAAATATCAGGAAGTATAAAATTAACCAAGAGATCTAGAAGTGTTGTGGTTGGCATTGCCTGAAAGAGTTAGAGAATGACTTCTCTCAGAGACTAAATGAGATAATGTATCTAAGTACACTTTAGAGCTTCTAAGCGCCTCTCCATATGGGTACCATCATTGAAAGTGTCAGCAGTAGTCCCCTGCCCCATAGAGACTGATGTGGGAATTATCTTACCCCCCTAAAATGCCAATAGACCAACGGCCTTTCGAGATCCCTTCCCTCCCGGGGCCAATATCACTATTAAAAACCAAATACCCTTCCCTCCTTCAATAAACTTCTTTTCTCCTCCCTTCTATCACATTGACCTATCCCTTCTTACAAAATAAAGCTGCCATGCATTAAATCAAGCAAACAGACAGAAGGGAACAAGGGAATAGGGCATGACCATACCCAGCAATAACTAACGTTAAATTTCTTGTTATGTGTATTTCTTTAATTTTTAAAAATTTGTTGTTTTGTGTTGAGATGTTTGCTGCCAGTGTGATTATTGTTTTTTTGTTTGTTGTTTGTTTTTTCTCTCTGGATGTTTGGGTGTGGTTCCCCCCCCTTTTTTTATTGACTTTTTTTTTTGGAGTAGTTTTAGATTTAGATGTTTGCTGCCAGTGTGATTATTGTTTTTTTTGTTGTTGTTATTTGTTTTTTTTCTCTGGATGTTTGGGTGTGGTCCTCCCCCCCCTTTTTATTGACTTTTTTTTTTGGAGTAGTTTTAGATTTACAACAAAATCAAGTGGAAAGTAACGAGTTCCTATTCATCTCCTGACACACAGTCTCTCTCACTATCAACATCCTCCACCAGAGTGCTACATTTGTTGCAACTGATGCATTTATATTAGCACATTATTATCACTTAGTTTACATCAGAGTTCACTCTTGGTGTTGTACATTCTGTGGGTTTGGACAAATGTATAATGCTACATATTTACCATTAACCATTACCATTTACCATTATAGTAAGTTTCACTACCCTAAAATCCTGGGCTCTGCCTACTTATCCCTCCCTCCCCCATAACCCCTGCCAACCACTGATCTTTTTACCATCTTCATAGTTTTGCAGATTTTGTATTCCTTTTTTTAAAAAAAATAAATTTTAAATTACAATTGATGTACAATATTAAATTAGTTTCAGGTGCACAACCCCACAAATAGACATTATCTATACTAATAAAAGGGTAATATGCTAATTAGGCTGGATATCTTCCGGATGACCTTCCAGATGTCCTTCTGGACAAAGCCATGGTGGCGGGGCCGGGGCCAGGGCAGAGGCAGTTAGGGGTGGTCAGGTCAGCCAGGGAGAGCAGTTAGGGGGATCAGGTTGGCAGGGGAGAGCAGTAGGGGAATCAGGCAGGCAGGTGAGTGGTTAGGAGCCAGCGGTCCCGGATTTCAAGAGGGATGTCCTGGATTGGAGAGGGTGCTGGCTGGGCTGAGAGACCCCCCGCCCCACGCATGAATTTTGTGCACTGGGCCTCTAGTATAACATATGAAGGGATCACCCTGATAAATCTCGTACCTATCTGAAACCATACATAGTTATTACAATATTATTGACTATATTCTCTGTGCTGTACTCTACATCCCCATGACTATTCTGTAGCTACCAATTTGTACTTCTAAATCCCTTCACCTTTTTCACCCATCTTCCTATCTCCCCTCACATCTGGCCACCGTCAAAATATCCTATATAATAAAAGACTAATGTGCAAATTGTCCCCTTGAGAGTTCCACCAGCAGGCCGGGAGTTCGATCACTCGCTATGAGATGCACTGACCACCAGGGGGTGGTGCGGAACATGGTGGACGACCAGTGGCGGTGGCGGGGTGCTGAGGGAGCGAGGGAAGGAGAGGCAGGGAGGCCGGGAGGCGGGAACCTGATCGGCCCTGATTGCCAGCCAGGCCTAGGGTCCCTACCTGTGCATGATTTTTGTGCACCGGGCCTCCAGTTCTATATATGAGTCTATTTCTGTTCTGCTTGTTTGTTTATTTTGTTTAGATTCCACATATAAGTGAAATCATCTGGCATTTGTCTTTCTCTGTCTGACTTGTTTTAATCAACACAATATCCTCTAGGTCCATCAATGTTGTTGCAGATGGCAAGATTTCATTCTCTTAAATGACTGAATCACATTTCATTGTATATATACACCATCTCTTCTTTATCCATTCTTATAGTGATGGACAAAGGTTGCTTCTATAGCTTGGCTATCTATATATATAAAAGGCTAAGTCACAGGGAGTGTGCTTGGAGCTTACCTGGTTGGGGAGACTTCTGAAAGCTACTGCCACCACGCTTGGAAGGCTTGATCCCTGAGCTGACCTCTTTGTATTAATACTTCTCGAGCAAGCATTGGTGAGTTTTCATTCGTCAGGAAACTGAGGCGATCGTGAATTTGGTTGACACTTCTATTATAGAGAAAGGGCAAATAGCGATATTAAAATATTTCTTGTAATTAATTTCCTTTCAGTGTGCACGAACTCATGCACTGGGCCACTAGTTATAAATAATTCTGCAATAACATATGTATGTATATGTCATTTCCTGATTTAACATTTTGGGTTTCTTTGGATAAATACCCAGAAGTGGAATTGTTGGGTCCTTCTTTGTCTCCTGTTATAGCCTTTGTTTTAGGTTTATTTTGGCTCTGGCCAGGTAGCTCAGTTGATTTGAGCTTTTTCCCAATACACCAAGGTTGTGGGTTCAATCCCCAGTCAGGGCACAGTGAATGCATAAATAAGTGGAACAACAAATCAATGTTTCTCTCTCTCTCTCTCTCTCTCTCTCTCTCTCTCTCTTCTCTTCTCTTTCAAAAAAAAAAATAAGGCTATTTTGTCTGAGTATTGCTAACTCAGCTTCTTTTTCCCCATTTCCATTTGCATGAAATATCTTTTCCTATCCTTTTTCTTTTAGTATGTGTGTGCCATTCAATTGGAAGTGAGTCTTATAGATAGTATATGTAAGGGTCTTGTTTTCTTATCTATTCAGTTACCATATGTCTTTTAATTGGAACATTTAATCCATTTGCATTTGAAGTCTTTGTTGAGCCCTAGCCCATTTGGCTCAGTGGATACAGCATCGGCCTGTGGACTGAGGGGGCCCAGGTTCAGTTCTGGTCAAGAGCATGTACCTTGGTTGCAGACTCAAGGGCCATGTGGGAGGTAACCAATCGATGTGTCTCTCTCACATCGATGTTTCTCTCACTCTGTCTCTCCTCCTCCCTTCCACTCTCTCTAAAAATCAATGGAAAAAATATCCTCAGGTGAGGATTAACAAAATAAAATAAATAAGTAAAGTAAGTGTTGATAGATATGTATTTATTACCATTTTATTATCCATATTTTATCTTTTTTCTTAAAGAAGTCTCTTCAACATTTCTTAGTGGTGATGAATGCCTTCAGTGGTTTTTTGTCTGGGAAGTTTTTTTCTTCTTCTTTTTTTTAATTGATCTTGAAGAGAAAAAGGGAGAGAGAGAGAGAGAGAGAGAGAGAGAGAGAGAGAGAAGCATTGATGTGAGAGAAACATCAATTAGCTGCCTCCCACATGTGCTCTGACCAGCGATTGAAACCACAACCTGGGTATGTGTCCTGACCAGGAATCAAGCCCACCAATCTTTGATGCATGGTACGAGGCTCCAACCACTGAGCAACACCAGCCAGGGTGGGAAGCCTTTTACCTGTCCTATGATTCTAAATGATAGCTTTGCTGGACAGAGTAGTCCTTGCTTTTCATCACTGAATATTTTTTGCCACTCCCTTCTGGCCTACAAAGTTTCTGTTGAGAAATCAGCTGACAGTCTTATGGGAGCTCACTTGTTGGTAACTAACTGCTTTGCTCTTCCTACCTTTAAGATTCTCTCTTTGTCTTTAACCTTTTATATTGTAACTAGAGGCCCGGTGCACGGATTCGTGCACCAGTGGGTCTCTCGGCCTGGCCTGCAGGGATCAGGCCGAAACCAGCTCTAAGACATCCCCCAAGGGGTCCCGGATTGCGAGAGGGCGCAGGCTAGGCCAAGGGACCCCACCAGTGTACAATCGGGACTTGGCGGGGGGGGGCACAGGAGGGCTCCAGGGCATGTCCAGCCCGTCTAGCCCAGTCCTGATTGGCCAAACCCCAGCAGCAAGCTAACCTACCAGTGAGAGCGTTTTCCCCCTGGTGGTCAGTGCATGTCATAGTGACCAGTCGAACGGTTGAATGCATATTAGGCTTTCATTATATAGGATTATGATGTGTCTTGGTGTGGGCCTCTTTGGGATATTTTGTTTGGGACTCTGTACTTCCTGGACATGTATGCCTATTTTCTTCACCAGGTTAGGGAAGTTTACTGTCATTATTTTTTAAAATATGTTTTTATTGATTTTAGAGAAAGAGGAAGGGAGAGGGAGAAAGAGAAACATCAATGACAGAGAAACATTGATTGGCTGACTCCTGCATGCCTCTACTGGGGACTGAGCCCATAACCTAGGCATGTGCTCCAACCAGGAATTGAATTGGTGATGGTGACGCTCGATGCATGGGATGACGCCCAACCAACTGAAGCCACACTGGCCAGGGCTACTGTCATTATTTTTTCAAATAGGTTTTCATTGTTTTGCTCTCTCTCTGCTCCTTCTGGTACTCCCATGATGCAAATGTTGGCACGCTTGAAATTGTTCTAGAGGCATCTTAAACTATCCTTGATTTTTGGATTCTTTTTTCTTTTTGCTGTTTTGATTGGGTGTTTTTGCCTCCTTATATTCCAATTTGGTGATTTGATCATCTGCTTCATGTACTCTACTGTTCATTCCCTGTAATGTATTCTTCATTTCAGTTAGTGTATTCATGTCATTGCTGACTGGTTCTTTTTTATGTTTTCTATCTCCATTTTTACATTTCCTACCTCTTTGTTGAAGTTCTCATTAAATTTCTCTACTCTTCCCCTGAGTTCACTGAGCATCCTTATAACCATTGTTTTAAATTCTGCATCTGGCGGATTGCTTTTCTAGTTTAGTTCTTTTTCTGGAGTTTTGTTCTGTTTTGTTTAGTTCTTTCTCTGGAGTTTAGTTCTGTTCTTTCATTTGGGACATATATTTTTTTGTCTCCTCATTTTGGCAGCCTCCCTGTGTTTGTTTCTGTGTATTAGATCTCTAGGTCTTGATAGAGTGGCCTTACGTAGTTGGTGTCCTGTAGGGCCCAGTGGTGCAGCCTTCCCTCCACAGTCATCTGAGCTGGGTGTTCCAGGTACACCCCTCCTGTAGGCTACATGCATCCTCCTGTTGTAGTTGAGCCTTGATTGCTGTTGGTACATCAATGGGAGGGATTTACCCCCCTGGCCAATCAGCTTCAAGGACTGGCCACAACCACGTTGGAGGATCGCTGTGAAGGGGCTGACCCCATGGAGCAGAACTTACATGGAGCAGAGGGGCTTAGGTACCCACCAAGTTTACCCCTTGAGTGTGTTGCTCATGAAAGTGGTTGGGTCTGTGGGGCCTCCTGTGAGGTGTAGGCCAAGGTCAACTGCCACCTTTGCTCTAACTGGGAGCCACCCAGCCTGAGCTACAAAGTGATCTGCAGATGACTGCTACTCGTGCTGGGCTCGGAGGTGCCTGGGAGAGGCCAAGCTGTGAACCAAGGCCTGCTGCCACTAGTGCTGGGCCTGGGGCCACTTGGCAAGAGGTACAGGATACACCGAGGCCAGACGCTGCTTGTTTAAGAGATTTTAGGAAAGTTGGCAGCATGAGCCAAGACAGGCTGTTCGTATGGAAAAGCCACTGGAAACAACGGGTGGGCCCACAAGTTGGGTGGGCAGCGTCTCAGGGAATCATCATGGTAGGGCCAACAATGTTAGGTTGATGGAGACTGAGATATGGTAGCCTGCCTGCAGGCTCTGTCAGGGGAGGGCTCAGCAAAGGAATAATGGCCGCTGCCAGCACCTCTGTCTGGAAGAAAGTTGCCTCTCCGGCTCTTACCCTGATGCCAAACAATTTAGTCCTTCCCCATATGTTGCTGACACCTTTGCTGCCCCAGCACTGGTGTTCAGAGCAAGTGAGTTTGAGTAAGTCTGTGGGTGGGCCCTTTAAGAGGAACACCTAGGACTCCAGCAGCCTCCATCTCACTCAGCCACAATCCCTGCTGGTCTTCACAGCCAGAAGTTATAGGGACTTCTCTTCCCAGCACTGGAACCTGGGCTGGGAGGCTTGGTGTAGGGATAGGAACCTTGGCTCTGCAGGGGGACCTCCACAGCTGAGATATCCCTCCCAATTTTTAACTGCACATGTGGGTGTGGGACCAGCCTGTTCTGCATCTCTACTCCTGCCAGTCTCTCCTATAGTTTAATTGTAATTTTGATGTGGTTGTGAGAGGTTCCAAGTACTGTGTTTGCCTATACTGCCATCTTAACCAGAAGCCCCGTAGTTTTGAAGAATTTATTTACATTTTTCCAGAATGTCATATACTTGGAATCATAATGTATAGCCTTTTTAGATTGGCTTCTCTCAGTAGTATGCATTTAAGTGTTCTTCATATCTCTTCATGACTTGGTATCTCATTTCTTTTTAGAGCTGAATATTCCATGTATAGTGTACAATGTATACATTGTATTGAGGTACCACTGGTATATACCCATTCACCTACTGCCTTCAGTAGTTGGTTATTCATCTGGGTTGCTCTCTGGATGCTTTTACTATATATATAGTCTCCCTGTCTTTTGGTTTTCCTATAAAGAATGTAGGCGTGGCTTTCCACCTGATCTCCCTCCCCCTGAGCGTGCTCTGGCTGTATCACCAGTGCCGCATCCTCTCCTTCCAGCCACCGTCATGGTCATCTGACGGTGATGAGGTGTTCTCAGAAGTCTTCAAGACCTGGGAGATTGCTGATGGGCTGTGCCTCAAGGTGAAGGAGAAGATTGTCAGGAGGATAACAGATAGCATTGATGACTCACTTATTGCTGGAAATGCCTCCACTGAAGGTCTGGAGGGCAAAGGGACCGTAAGCACAGTCATCAGTGGTGTGGATACTGTCATGACCTTCATTTACAGGAAACCAGCTTCACAAAAGAAGCCTATGAGAAATGCATCAAGGATTGCATGAAATCAATCAAAGGGAAACTTGGAGTATAGAGACCAGAAAGCGTAAAATTTTATGACAGGGTGCAGGACAAATCAAGCATCTTCTTGGTAATTTCAAAAACTACCAGTTCTTTTGTTTTATTAGATTGATGAGAGAGAGAGAGAGAGAGAGAGAGAGAGAGAGAGAGAGAGGCACCAATGTGAAAAACATCAAACAGTTGTTTCCTGCATGCAACCCGACTGGCTCCTGCATGCACCCCAACCGGGGATCAAACCTGCAACCTGACCAGGAATCAAACCTGCCACCTTTTGGATGCTCCAACCAACTGAGCTTCACCGGCCAGGGCCTATCAGTTCTTTACTGGTGAAAACATAAATCCAAATGGCATGATTGCTCTGTGGGGCTACTGTGAGGATAGTATGACCCCAGATATGATTTTCTTTATATATATATACTAGAGGCCCAATGCACAAAATTCATGCAAAGGGCTCGGCCCTCGCAGCCCTGGCTTCATCCAGAAGGTCAAAGGATGTCCGGAAGGTCATTCGGCTGCCCAGTCTAATTACCATGTTACGCTTTTTTATTATAGATATTTATTGATTGATTGATTTCAGAGAGGAAGGGAGAGGGAGAGAGAGATAGAAACATCAATGATGAGAGAGAATCATTGATTGGCTGCCTCCTGCACACCCCACACTGTCAGATGACCATGACTGTGGCTGGAAGGAGAGGATGCAGCACTGGTGATACATCCAGAGCACGCTCAGGGGGAGGGAGATCAGGTGGAAAGCCACACCTACATTCTTTATAGGAAACCAATCTGCAGAACTTTTTCATCTTGCAAAACTTTATACCCATTAAACAACAACTCCTCATTCCATCACCACCTCTGCAAACACCATTCACCTTTCTGTTTTTATGAATTTAACTAATTCAGATGCCTATATAAGTGAAATCATACAGTGTTTGTCTTTATGTGACTAGCGATGTCCTCAAAGTTCACCCATGCTGAAGCATGTATCAGGATAGCTTCCTTGTTAAGGCTGAAGAATATTCCACCATATGTGTAGATCACATTTGTTTATCCATTAATCCATAAATGGACACTGGGTTGCTTCCATGATGCTACTATAAACATGGGAGTGAAAATACCTCTTGCAGATGCTGCTTTCAATTCTTTGGGGTAGGTACTCAGAAGTGGGATTACTGGATCATATGATATTTCTGTTTTTAATTTTTTTGAGGAACTGTTTCCCACAGTGGCTGTAACATTTTATATTCTAACTAAGAATGTGCGAAACTTCCAATTTCTCCATATCTTCATTAACACTTGTTTTTTTCTGTACTGAGGGTTGCATGAGGTTTGTTAGGACAGAATAAAGCACAATGGTCTGGGATCAACAAACATAGACTCTTCAATTTTTAAGTTCCTCATTTTTAAGGGAAGTTTCCAACCACGCCACTGTGGTTAATTGTTCATTGGCCAGCCTAAGATCCAGACTCGTAAATGGGAGTTTCATTGATATGTGAGAATAACTAGTGTGACAGCGTTTCCCCATGGCTTCCAGAGGAGTGTCCCCAGAGAAACTTGAAAATAGAACTCAGGAGAAAAATTGTGGGGGGGAGGGGACTCCTGAGCAGCAGAGGACCACAGCTCTTCCTCAGGGTGGCCACAGACTGGCAGGCCCTTTGTACAGGCTTCCCTATCCCCTTGTCCTTCAAGGACAAGAATTCCTCTGCACCTTCCCCCACCCAAAAAAACAGACCTATTAAAAAAAAAAATCTGCCCAGCTGGTGTTGCTCAGTGGTTGAGCATCAACCTATGAACCAGGAGGTCACGGTTCAATTCCCGGTCAGGGCACATGCCCGGGTTGCGGCTTGATCCCCAGTCGGGGGCATGCAGGAGGCAGCCGATCAATGGCTCTCCCTCATCATTGATGTTTCTATCTCTCTCCCTCTTCCTTCCTCTCTGAAATCAATAACTATATTTTTAAAAAACAGTCCTATAAAGAAAAATAATTCCTCTGCCCTCGCCAGGGAATAGAGGCCTGCTATGCCCATCTGGAGGAGGCTCCTAATCAGAGAATGCATTCAGCTTTTAGAATGTGGCGACATTCTTTGGTGGAAAGAACGCTGAACAGGAATCTGGAGCTCAGAGCCCTGGGTTTCAGTCCTGGTGCTTTGGCTCCGAAGCTGTGTGACGTTACACAGACTTTCTCCAGAAATTTCCTTTTCCAAGGAATACAGCTCACTCACCTGCTTTGGACTCAAGGCTGAGACAACTGTCCGAGTTCTCTGAATGCCCATTCTGGTTCAACTGTGCCTTGCTTTTTTATCATCTTTATAGAACAGTGAAAAACCCACCTCTATGAGAAATATTTGCACAACTATTTGTTTGTTTGTTTGTTTTTTTCCAACAGTGCACCATGCAACAATATGACTGAGTGTGATCCCTACTCAGGAAGTATGTAGGCATGAAATGACTCGTGCTACGGTAGTGAGACTCATGGGTGGGAAGCAGGGGAGATGTGCAGGGCATGAGAATTTCTCTTTTAAAAGTTAGCTCAATGTTGTTATTATATTTTCTAGTTAATGGCAATATTTAAACACAAATTTAAAATGATATAATAGATTCTTATAACTTACTCAGGTTTACATCAGAGAGCAAAATGTGAAAGCCCACCCACCTATCTTTCACCACCCAGTAATTTACCTCCCATTGTTAAAAAAAGCAACAGACTCTGCATCAAATTTGTGTGCAGGTGGTTTATTGGGAAGTATTCTCAGAAACAGCATTTGTAAAGGACTGAGACAAGAGAAATTAGGCGTAGAGAGGGCAGGTTGCAAAGCAAATGCAGTTGCAACAGAGGCTGCGGCAATCCCTTGGGGAGCTCTAAAATTGGGATGGCCCTTCAGAACTGTCCCAAACTGAGGCAAAGGGGACCTGCCTTTGTACTGCATAAAGCCAGTCATTGGATTCAATCTGTCCCCAGGGAGGGGCTTCCACTTGGCAAAGCAGCTGCATGCAGCTGAGAGGGCAATGCCTGGAGGGGCACTCGGCATAAGCTGTCAGCAGACAACATCCTGCAACTGGGTGAAGTGTCTTGGTCCTAAAGAGACACGTCTGGATAACACCTCATGTGCCCTTATATTACTGTTTCCCTCCCCAGAAAGAACACCCATGACAGTTAAGTGTGTATCCCTCTGGACCGTGTTTTTTAGTTCATATGCATATGGTTTCATATACAGATATATATATATATATATATGTAAATACCTTTTCCTTTTTCACTTCAATAAATTCATAAGATATGCATTGTCCTATTGCTTTGCTCACTGTGCTGACAATCTTTCCATTAGGGTATAAATCCCCGCCCCTTTCTTTGTTTAAGCAGAATCCTTTATTCCCTGTGGTCTCCCATCCAAGTACTAACCACCAAAATAGCACAATTTTCTAGTAACTGGCCCCCACAAATGGAGATCTGTGTATTCCCTGACAAATAATTCAAAATATTGTTATAACGAAGCTCAGTGAACTACAAGAAAATACAGACAACTCAATGAAGTCAGAAAAATATATGAACCAAACAAGGGGTACAACAGAGAGATGGAAATCATAAAAAAGAACCCAACAGAAATTCTGTAGCTGAAGAATACAATGAATAAAATCTATAATAAAAAAAAGCATAATATGCTAATTAGACCAGATGTCCTTCTGAACGTCCTCCCAGGACAAAGCGGGCTGCAGCTGCGGGATCCAGGCAGTCACCTGTGGCTGTGAGGGAGGGATCCAGGCAGCCGCTGTGGCTGCGAAGGCTTACTCTTGCTCGAATTTTGTGCATCGGGCCTCTAGTTTTAAAAAATAAATAAATAAATACATAAATAAATAACTCATTCTAAAAACACTTTGGCATTTATAAATAGGTTCTTCCAATCCTTAAAAACTGGCTTTTGGCCTCATCATATCACTGAAATCTCTCTCTCTCTCTTTCATCATTAAATAATTCTAAATCCAAAATAATAATAATAATGATACAATTTTGGAGGACAAAATTATCAAGCATTAAAACATGCAGTAATGTGCATTATTGGCAAAGCTATGGAAGAATGAGTGCTCTCTTTTCTCAGTGAGCAGAAAATAAATTGGTAAATCTTTTGGAAGGGCAGTTTAATAAGTTCTATCAAAATGTAAGTGGATATATCTTTGGCCCATAAATTTTACCTCTCTAATTTGATCCTGTACACCTGAACCTATATGATCATATTAACCAATATCACCCCAATAAATTAAATTAATAAATAAATGAATCCTAAAGAAATACACATGTATACAGGAAAGTACATGCAATAATATTGAATGCAGTATAGTTTGTAATCATAGAACATTTCAAATGACCTAAATACCCACTAATGAGAACATTTAGTCAAATTACAGTACATTTATGCTATAAAATTTTAAACAGAAATTTAAAAGAATGAAATAGAGCTGACATTGAAAAGTCTTCAATACATAATGTTAAGAGAAAAAGTGATCATATATTTATTTTTTTATTGTTTAAAATATATTTTTATTAATTTCAGAGAGGAAGGGAGAGGGAGAGAGAGATAGAAACATAAATGAGAGAATCACTGATCAGCTGCCTCCTGCACACCCCCTACTGGGAACCGAGCCCGCAGCCTGGGCATGTGCCCTTGACCGGAATTGAACCCGGGACACTTCAGTCCGCATGCCATCGCTCCATCCACTGAGCCAAACCAGCTGGGCTGATTATATATTTAAATGTATGTATGCTTTCATGTATACACATACAATAAACTTTTATCAATGACTTGAAGATTTTACAATGAACCTAGATTATTTTTTATTTAAAAAACAATTTAAAAAAGGAAATGGTAATACCAGCTGGTAGGATAATACAAAATAATATAAAGAAGAAAAATCAGCTGTAATCCCATCATTAAGAGAAAACCTCCATCAACATTTTAATGTCAATCTTTCCAGTTCCTTTTCTGGGTATAACTAATTTTTTAAAAATGTTTTTATTAATTTTAGAGAGAATGAAGAAGGAAGAGGGAGTGAGAGAAACATCGATTGATCTTGATCAGCTTTCCACATGCCCTACCAGGGATCTAACAGGGATCTAATAGTAACCCGGGCATGTTCCCTGACCAGGAATCTAACCAGCAATCTCTCGGTGCACAGGACCATGCTCAATAACCTGGTTGAGATATAGACTGAACGGTATTTAAATTCTGTTTATCTTTCTTTTTTCACTTTAACTTTCTCTAGAAGTTATCTAGTCTGGAATTCTCCCTCTAACATTGAAGTCACTGTTTCATTCAGGCTCTAACCCAGGGGTGGGCAAACTTTTTGACTCGAGGGCCACAATGGGTTCTTAAACTGGACCGGAGGGCCAGAACAAAAGCATGGATGGAGTGTTTGTGTGAACTAATATAAATTCAAAGTAAACATCATTACATAAAAGGGTACGGTCTTTTTTTTTTTAGTTTTATTCATTTCAAACAGGCCGGATCCGGCCCGCGGGCTGTAGTTTGCCCACGGCTGCTCTAACCTCTGAATCAAAGG